CCTTTGATGCTGACTGGCCTGCTGTGTTCCTTCAGCTCCATACTGTGTTATCTCTGACTCAGCATCAGCAGTTCTTAATATCTCTCTATAGGAACAAGAGTAGGCCACTTTGTTCTTTTGAGCCTGTTCTGCCTTTCAGTAAGATCATGGCTAACCCGAGTATATCCTCAATCCTATATTCCTCCATACACCCAATAATCCTTTGTCCCCTTGGTGATCAAGAATGTGATCTATGAATCTACCTTTAAAATATTTAAAGACTGTGTGTCTACTGCCTTTTGAAGAAGGGGATTCCAAAGACACTCAGCCCCTTCGAGGAAAAAATGTTTCCTCATCCATATTTTAAATGGGTGATCTCTTATTTTGAATCAGCGACCCCTCGTTCTAATTTCCTCACATGAGGAAACATCTTTTTCACATCCACCTGGTCAAGACCCCTCAGGATCTTTTATGGTTCAATTAAGTCACGTCTAACTCTTAAACTCCAGGAGATACAGGCCGAGTCTGTCTAGCCTTTCCTGTTAAGGCAATCCACTCATTCCAGGTATTAGTCTAGTAAATCATCTCTGAGCTGCTTCCAATCCATTAACATCCTTTCATACTTAGGGTAACCAGTACTGTACACAATACTCCAGATGCAGTCTCTCCAGTGCCATGTCTAATTAAAGCATAACCTCGCTACTCTTGCACTGAATTCCCCTCGCAATAAACATAACAGTCTATTAGCTTTCCCGGTTACTTGCTGTACCTGCATACTAACCTGCAATTCAGCCACAAGGATACCTAGGTCTCTCTGCATCTCAGAGCTCTGCAACCTCTGAGCATTTAGATAATATTCTTTTCTAATCTTTCTGCCATAATGCACAATCTCACACTTTCCCACATTATACTCCATTTGCCAGATCTTTGCCCACTCACTTTACCTATCCATATCCCTTTGTGGCTCCTTGCATCCACTTCACAACCCACTTTCCTAACTGTCTTTGTCTCATCAACTCCCATGCCTCAGTCTCTTCATCCAAATCATTGATATAAATTGTAAAGAGTTGACTCCCCAGCACCGGCCCCTGTGACACACCACTTTTAACATCCTGCCAGCCTGAAAAAGACCTATTTGTGCCTACTCTCTGCTTTGTATTAGCTAGCCGACCTTCTGTCCATGCCCTACCATTACACCATGAGCTTTTATTTTCCGCACCTTATTAAATGCCTTCTGGGAATCTGAGTACAATATGTACACTGTTTTCCCTTTTCCAGAACACACATTATTTATTCAAAGAACTCCAATAATTTTGTCAAAGGGAAATCAAGTTTAGCTATGTCAAATATTCTATATAATTTAACACTTCACTTTCCAGTGTGCATAGCATTTAATCCATCCACTTTCTCGATATTTGTTCCTGTAATAATATCACTAGATGTACAAAAGAAAGGAATAATCTGTAACACCAAAGTAACTGTTAGTTATTGCCCTTCATGGAACTATTGGCAAGTGATTGCAATAATATAAAAGGAAACTAAACACACAACCCATTGGGACTAATCATTTTACTTTCTTACAGCTTGGTTGAGCCAATTCTAAGCTATCAATCTAATATCACCGTAATCACGTTATATATGTCACAAATGTAATTTCAACCAATTCTTCAATCAAATAATTCAGTTAATAAATCCTCATTTTGCAGACAATATTTGAACTTTCCCAGGGAGAACAGCTTTTAATTGAAGACTTGAAACTGGCAAAAAAGGTAATGCAAGCTTTATTTCAGTTGTCAAACAATACTTTCCACATGTTTTATTCTATAATAATAATAATCAATCATATTTCAAAAATTATTTGTTTTAGATGTGCCTTTCATTAGTATTTTAATTTATCTTTTAATTAGGTTTCTACCAAATGTTCATATTTCAGATTATTACCAAGGTCATTTTAGTCAAATAGAATAACCCAACGCATTTTATTTTGAAAAATGTGAGTTTGTTTTTGCAGTGTAAGCATTCTCCTGTAACTGTGCTGTTGAGAATACTGGCCTCAGGTGCAAGCAGCTCTTAAATCTCCTTGAATTAATCATGGGATTTTTGAATTCATTTTTGTTTTAAGCCGTTTTACCCACTAAAATAAATCCTATTGTTAAATTAATCTGATAAATATTGCTAACAAAATTGCAACTGTCAAAAAGATGTTAGATCTCAAGTGTGAGTCAGAAGCATTGCAATAAAGAAACAAATTGGGTATATGTTGAAACATGCTGTCTGCAAAATTCATTACGTAAACATTCAAAATGTAACAATGCTGGTTTCTCTCCATAGGCTTATCATGATCCGATGCTCAAACTCTCCATCATGACTGAGAAGGAGCTGAATCAGATATTTGGAACACTAGATTCCCTTATTCCTTTGCATGAAGGTATGGTTTCCTTTTAGATTAAACGGACACAAATGTAGAAAGAGCTTAGTGGTTCACATGGAACATTGTCATGTTTCTTTAACGTTTAAGTTCTTCCTCTTGGAGAAAGCATTTTTGCTACGACCTTGACATTTCCTATTTATTTTTGGTCAGATCTTCTGAGTCGACTTCGAGAAGCCAGGAAACCAGATGGAACGACGGAGCATGTTGGTCACATCCTTGTAGGCTGGGTAAGGAAGTGGTTCAGTCTTTTTATTCTTTTTATCTGCCTTTACATTTCACTCGTTCCCATATCTGTGCAATCAGTTGCCAGCATATACATTTGACAGATTTGTTAAGTGCAGATACTGTCCAGATGCTGTTTTGTAAATAAAGGGTCATCCCAACTGCTATCAGTAACAAATCCCGCTGCTTTGAATTTGGCTGTGTTGGCTGAGCTACATTCCAATTTCAACAACACCCATTGACATCAAGCTAAAAGGGTTAAATTGACATGAAAGAATATAAATATATCCCACTTAAATATGCATGAAGTGGATTGATTTAATTGACGCTTTGCAAATGTTAGTATTTTATCACTTTGCCCTGAACTTGACCAGAAAGATTATGCTAACCACTACTATATGTCTCTTAATGCTCAACTGCTACATTTTACGTAAAAGCTTTTCTTTACTCAAGTCCTCTGGTGCTTGAAGACTATTAATGGTATAGAACTTTAACATTACTAAAAGATAAAAGGAGATAAGAACGTAAGAAATAGGAGCAGGAATAGGCCATTCGGCCCCTCAGGTCTGTCCTGCCATTCTGTAAGATCGTGCTGATCTGCCCCAGCCTTAACTCTTCTTTCATGCCAGCTCAGCATAACCCTCAACTCTTCAATATTTCAAAAATCTTATCTACCTCCTCTTTAAGCATTTTCAGTGATCTAAGCTCCAGAACACATTGTGGTAGAGAATCCCAGACATTCACTATCTTCTGAGAGAAGAAATTCCTTCGCACTTGAGTTTTAAAGGAGTGTCCCCTTATCCTGTAACTGTCTCGAATATTTTCCTCTTGCACTCATCAGATGTAAAACATAAGAATCAGACTTGAAAGATAGGGCATCAACTTGTACAGCACATGAAGGGGATGATGATTGATTGAGCCATCATCAGTATGGAAATTCAGCAAGAACAGTTAACTGTCACTCTTTGTTCTCAGACCAGGCAGGTTGAATCTGGTCAGGGTGTTTTCATGGGAATGCAGCAGAGATTGGCAGTCACTGGCATCTTTGTTTTGTTTCAGTGAGGAGTCATGCATACAATAGGGTCCTGTGTCTTAATATATGTAGATTCTAGCATGGACAAATGGATCACACTGCAAATGTGACCGATGATCTTGAATTAGTTTTCAGTGTAATTATTAGCACAGTCTGAATTATTTAGTAAATGATGTCCATTAACAGAGATGTATGTAACGATGGACATGTTGATCTGAGGCTTGCAGGCACAAGCAGGTTCAGCGAATTGTCAATAGGACATATAATCTGATACCATCTATCAGTTGTTTGGACGTATAACCTACATATCTGATATCACATTAGCACTGAATCACATATCTCATTATTGATCTGTGTGGAAGGCAAAATGTCTTTCAGTTTGATGGCAGCATCCTGTTAGTAGAGAAAACCACTGTAGGTTTAGTGCAAAGTAGTAATCTGAGACCGTTAGCTCCACCTGTTGTTCATTTTCTCTTCTGAGATGTATTCCCCTTCCAGGGGAATCGGTGATATAGACATGGCACTGCTCAAGGCCAGAAGTGGTGGACATAGGCCCTTTCATGAATTTTTGCAATATACAGCTAGTGATGATTTGATCAGGGTAGATATTATCACGCAGGATAGTTTTAATACATTCTATCTCAATGTCAATCTTGCACGGTGCACACATGGCAAGAGCTGCATTGATAAGTTTGCCAATAAGATCAATCTTGTAGCTTTTGGAAAAGATAGCTTCGCAAAACACACATTAACCAATGAACGTAGGCTTTCAATAGATAATACTAGAGAAATTTCTCAACTAATAAAACAATGAAAGGGAGCTCATTTCAGTGGTAAATTAACATCTTAGTCATACATAGCAATGCTGATGTGTAGTTACGAATATGGGAATAGGATTGGGCTATTTAGTCCCTTGAGTTTGTTCTGCCATTCATCAAGATCATGGCTGAACTGCATTTATAATTCCATATACTTGTCTTTAAGACTGTAACATGTATGAGCAGAAGTAGGCCATTCAGCTCATTAAGTCTGTTTTACCAGTCAATTAGATCATGGCTGATTTGATAACCCTCAACTCTTCATTCCTGCCTTTTTCCTAAAACTCTTGATTCCCTTAATGATCAAAAATCTACCTCCGCCTTGAATATACTTAACAACCCAACCTTAACAGCTCCCTGCAATAAAGGTTTCCACAGATTCCCAACCCAATGAGAGAAAGAAATCCTCCTCATCTCTGTCTTAAATAGGCAATTCATTATTCTGGGATGACGCCCTAATACCATTAACTTTTTGAAAAAGGGAAACAACTTTTTTGCATTTACCGTGTCAACTGACCTAAGTGTCTTTTATGTTTCAATGTGGTCACCTCTCATTCTTCTATACTTGAACGAGTACAGGCCCAAACTACTCAAGTGCTCCTCACAAGACAGATCCTCCCTACCCAGAATCAACCTGGTGAATCTTCCCTGGACTGCTACCAGTTGGAGTAGTTCTTTCCTTAGGTAAGTGGACAAAAACTGTCCACAGTATTCCAGCTATGCTCTGATAGTGCCTTTTACAGTTTTAACAAGGTCCTCCTATTTCCTTTGAAATAAAGGATAACATTCCATTTGTCTTCCCTGTTATCGCTTAACCTGTCTGTATCCCACAGCAGACTCTGTCATCCTTAGCACTTGCTTTCCCACTAATTTTTGTGTCATCCACAGTTATGGCTCTAGCACAATCATCTCATCTAAGTCATAAATGTTATTAAATTACTAATTGTGGCTCCATCAGTGATCCCTGTGGCACTCCACTAGTTACAGGTTACCATCCTGAAAATGACCCCCTTTATCTGGGATCTGGGTGTTCAGGTCATTGTACCCTGAAGATGGCAACGCAGGTCGATAGAGTGGTCAAGAAGGCATACGGCATGCTTTAATTCATCAGACGGGGTATTGAGTACAAGAGTTGGCAGGTCATGTTGCAGTTGTATAGGACTTTGGTTCGACCACATTTGGAATACTGCATACAGTTCTGGTCGCCACATTACCAAAAGGATGTGGATGGTTTGGAGAGGGTGCAGAGGAGGTTCACCAGGATGTTGCCTGGTATGGAGGGCGCTAGCTATGAAGAGAGGTTGAGTAGATTAGGATTATTTACATTAGAAAGACGGAGGTTGAAGGGGGGACCTGATTGAGGTCTACAAAATCATGAGAGGTATAGACAGGGTGGATAGCAAGAAGCTTTTTCCCAGAGTGGGGGACTGCATTACTAGGGGTCACGATTTCAAGGTGAGAGGGGAAAAGTTTAAGGGAGATATGCATGGAAAGTTCTTTACACAGAGGGTGGTGGGTGCCTGGAATGCGTTGCCAGCGGAGGTGGTAGAGGCAGGCACGATAGCGTCATTTAAGATGTATCTAGACAGATACATGAATGGGCAGGGAGCAGAGGGATACAGATCCTTGGAAAATAGGCGACAGGTTTAGATAAAGGATCTGGATCGACGCAGGCTTGGAGGGCCGAAGGGCCTGTTCCTGTGCTGTAATTTTCTGCAGTTCCTACTATCTCTGATTCGATTTTAACCCCACTGCGAAGCCTCTTCTAAGGATGCCTAACCTGAAGAAGTTACCCTCCTCCCTCCGGACAAACCTCAAGGGATCTCTCTCCCACTGCAACTCTCTCGTAATCTCTTCGGCCCTGAAACTGCTCGATCACGTCCTGAAGCAAACCAGGTACTACAGCCACATCACCTTCCTTAGCACCTGCCTACGGAACCAGATCATCCCCAATGGACTACAATCCACATTCAAGCCTTCCCAATTTGGCCCCAACCGTGATAATATCTACACTCATGGTGTTGAGATCCTTCAGAAGCGTTTCTCCCTGCGACTCCTGAAACACACACTTGCAGCAATGCGCCGGCATCTCCAGACACTACAATCAAGCCTACCCCAGCTCAGAGCCTCCCTCTCCCAGACCTGCAAAGGACTTCTCCTGTTTTTTATTCTTCGTAGGATCCACAACCTGAACTCCCAATTCTACTCAGCTTTATTGGACACTAAAAACCGTAAGTACAGTAAACTGACAGGTGCCTACCACCCAAAACGGGCTTCCTCCACCCCCCAAATCCCCAGCCGTACCCAGGACCTTCCCCACAATCGGTCCGCCGCCATTGGCCATGAGGCCACAATCGGAGAACCCACAGATGACGTCACATCCGCCACCGCCGGGTTCCCCACTTCCGGGACAGCAAACACCATCGCTGCCGTTGCCACCGACACTGAAGTCGCGGCCACCCTCAACGCTACTGCCGCCGCCTACCCCGCTCCTCCTACCTCCGACGCCGATCCGCCCATCACCGATGTGGACGCAACTCCACCCACCGCCGGCGTAACTCCGCCCACAGCCGACGCCGACACAGCTCCGCCCACAGCCGACGCCGACACAGCTCCGCCCACAGCCTCCACAGCCAGCAGCTCCAGAGGAGACAGCAGCACCCAGCCCTGCCGAGTCTTCACCATCCCCCCAGACCTACCCCTTACTGAGGATGAACGGTCAGTCCTCAGTAAAGGGCTCACCTTTGTCCCCCTCCACCCACAGATCAACGAATACCGCTCACGCTTGGACATAGAGCAGTTTTTCCGTCGCCGTCGCCTCCGCCTCCACGCTTACTTCTCTGACCGTGAACCTAACCCCCCCTCTACT